TGATCCAATGATGCCCGGTTTATCATTCATGCTCATGTTGTTCAGTATGGACTGATCATTCTGAGCCACAAACAAGCTTCATATTTTATTTATTTATTTTTATTAAGTAATAACTTCAAAAGTGCTCATTGAGTTAAAAGTGTTGATTTTTTTTTTTTTTTTTTCAAAACTGAGGGCACCCAACAGTTAAACACATTAATTTTCTTTTTCTCTCGAAAGATTGAATCACTGACCTCAAGGGTCACTTACACCCGGTCCAACAAAGCTTTTAGGAGGATATAAATTACGATGATTAAATGACTCATTATATGACTCAAATGCCGGTGTACACAAGGGATATGCCCACTTTGGAAACATTTTTTTAAGGGTGTTGCTATTTGCACCACCCTTTGGTCAAAAGTAGGTATAAAGTATCTTGAAATTATAAAAAGGTGAAAACTTTTAATAATTACATAGGTGGTGTAAATAGTCAAATGGGAGTTCATTTTGCTATTTGCACCACCTTGGTCAAACCTCATTTATGAGGTGTAATTAATAATTTTTTAATTTAAAATTTAATTAAGAGAAAATTGTACTTTTTCCCCTTAAGTTACATACTTATAGTACTTTTTATCCCCGAATTATTCATGTTAGCATATTAGCCCCCTCAATTATTCTAAAAGTGACAATCGCCCCCCCCCCCCCCCCCCCCCCCCCCCGATATATTAAATTGACATTTCTACCCTTAAAGTAAACATTTTATTTATTTTTCTTCTCTAACAAATTATTGCGTATCCGTATGGATGACCACGGTTCAGTTCTAACTGAACCGGACACTATAACAATCGAATTAAAAGTTTCCGGTTAAGGGAAAATTGTACACTTTTTCCCTCTGAGTTATATGATTATAGCACTTTTTTCCTCTCAGTTATTTGTTTATTCACATTTGCTCCCTCAATTATATTAAAAGTGGCAGGTTTTCTCCATTTTATGTTAGGTGAACATTTTTACCCTTAAAACTAAATATTTCATTTATTTTTTCTTCTCCAACAAATTATTGTTTATATGTACGGATGGTTATGGTTCGCTTCGAACAATTTTTTATTTTATTTCCAATTCAAAATTTATTTATTTATTATAAATTCTATTTCTTATTTTTAAAATAATATAAATTCAATAATTATTTTATTTTATTTCATTTTTTCGGTTCTGAATCGTAAATATAAGAAAATAAAGTTGTGTTGTGCCTTCACAATTAGTTATATTTGTTCTATATTTTCTTTAAAATTTTTAACCCTAAGAATCTAAGCTACACTCCCAAGGTTCGGACCTATGACCATTTATTTGAAATGGTAATTGAAATGTCATCATATTACATGATAGTTGACTTAATCATATTATATATAATAATCATATAAAAACCAATTGCTGTTAAATCAAAGTAATTGTAGATTACTAGTATATATGTCCTCTAATGAAGGTGTGCATTCCTCAAAAAGAGAGAAATCAAATATAATCTTAGATATAAAATCACACTCCAAAATGCCATTGGAACGTAATGGATTGTCAACTTCAATATGACTGTGAAAAATCCATACTTTTTCCCCCTTTTTATGAAGTTCGGAAGAGTAATATATAACACGTGTGATTGCAAATTAAAACAAACCCCCATTGGCTTTGCTTACGATTTAGAATCGAAAAAATAAAATACAATAAAATAATTATTAAATTATTTAAAAAAAAAAATAAAATTTATAATAAATAAATAAATTTTGAACTGGCAATAAAATAAAATAAAATAAAAAATTGTTTGAACTAAACCGTGACCATCCGTACATATAAACAATGATTTGTTGGAGAAGAAAAAATAAATGAAATATTTAGTTTTAATAGTAAAAATGTCTATCAAACATAAAAGGAAGGAAACATGTCACTTTTAATATAACTAGTAGGCAAATGTGAATTTATGAATAACTAAGAGGGAAAAAGTGTTAAAAGCATATACCTAAGAGGAAAAAGTGTCATTTATAATAAATATTTGTTAAAAAAAATAATGTTTGACTAAAATTAATGAAGGTGGTGCAAATAGCAATTTTCTATTTACACCACCTAAAAGTTATCACACCTATTAAATAGGTGGTGTAAATAAAAATTAGGGTAGTGCAAATAGAATTCCCCTTTATTAACTCTCTTTTTGGTTGAATGTTAAGCATGATTTTCAACATCTTGTAGACGAAGGCTGTGTTTGGTATTTTAAAACAAAATTTAAAAATCTTTTATAGCTAGGAAGATGTAAATTGTTTTGAATAGCTTATCCGGAAATTTCATTATATATTCTTCTTTGAGAAGCTATTGGACATGTAATTATGAGTGGTTTTTACGCATATAAATTTTTTAAAAGATTGAAGGATTTCAAATTTTTGTTGTTATATACCCTCAATGTTTAGGGTAGGGATGAATCTTTTTGTTGGGGATACAAGAATTGGGATAAACCAAAATCCCAAGGCAAATTATATCATGCACCGCGCGTTTTTTTTTAAATGAAAATAAACAGTATTTGTTTTTCACCGTTTCGCACTCTTTTGTAAAAAGTAATCCTGTTCTTCAGTGTCATTTTGTACACACTGCAGTTTCAGTTCAACACAACTACAGTTTCATTTCGATATAACTATAGCTTCATTCGATATTTATAGACTCAAATATGTGAAAATGTTATTTAATTTTATTTTATATACACTATAGTTTCATTAAAACACAATTACATGATCATTTTGATATAATTACAGCTTCATAGTACAATATACACTCAAATATGTGAAATGTTATTCAGTTTCATTTTATATACACTGCAGTTTCATTTCACTATAACTACAGTATCATTTTGATATAACTGCAGTGTCGGTTTAGATATACTGTAGTGTCAGTTGGTGTTTAATACACCAAACAAACGGACTCCGTTAACTATAACGGCGGACCGTTTCTTTACTTAAAGAAACGGCACCATTTTTTACCGCGGTGCACATACACTGCGGTCTATGATATAACGACTCTTATCCCAATTACTTGAACCCTCAAGGCACTTAAGGTCTACATACCCTCCAAAATTCCCAATGATTTACCACGAGGGCTTGTGGGCATCCCAGGCGTACCTCGCTCGAAGGATCCCAGGGCCCAAGTGACAATGTTAGGCAAATTATTGTGTGGACTATAGTCCACATAGTATTATATGGACCATAAAAGAAAATATATTTTTAATATATTAAAAGTACATTATTTTTGTACCAAATGTACATTATATAAAATAATGTACTTTCTGTTTCAAAAAAAAAATGTACTTACTCTGAATACAAAATACATTTTTAATATATTAAAATTACATTATTTTTGAACTAAATGTATATTATTTTATAGTATACAAAATATGATTGTGTGGACCATGATCCACACAATAATGAATATGAATGTTATCTCACAAAGTCCACTTTCTCTCCAAGGCTCCCAAGACATCTTATGAGGGCTTCAGGGCCACTGAGTAGGGAAATGACAACACACAAAGATACTAGGATCAACGGCTCGAAAAAACGTTGCCCACACAAAAAACGCAAATTATGCTATGGACTTATGTCCACAATGTATTGTGGACGAGTCTAAAACGATGTTATTTTCAGGAAAAATGCGATATTCTAGTTTTAAAAAAAAATTGATTTTTTCTCGGCGTTTACGGCGTTATTCGTTTGCGGCATTATGAATGTACAGTTATGAAATTATGAATGTACAGTTATAGAGTTATGAATGTACAGTTATGGAATTATGAATGTAAGTTATGAAATTATGAACACAGAGCTCTGACATTATGAACTTACAATTATGAACATATAGTGGTTAAATTATGAACATAGAGCTTCGAAAATTATGAATGTACAGTTATGGAATTATGAATGTACAGTTATAGAATTATGAATGTACAGTTATGAAATTATGAACACAAAGTTCTGACATTATGAACTTACAATATGAACATACAATGATAAAATTATGAACATAGAGCTCTAAAATTGTGAACATAGAGCTTCGAAAATTATGAATTTACAGTTATTGAATTATGAATGTGCAGTTATGGAAGTATGAATGTACAGTTATGGAAGTATGAATGTACAGTTATAGAATTATGAACACAGAGCTCTGACATTATGAACTTACAATTATGAACATATAGTGATAAAATTGTGAACATATACTCCTATAACGAAACGGTCTGAAATTTAAAAAAAAAAAAAAAAAAAAAAAGGAAGAGAACGGTGCCACTAACGGCACCGTTACCATGTCCACATTGCATGCTGGACACGGGTCCATAGCATAACGATTGCACAAAAAACCAAAGTACACAGAGGTCTTTCCTCTCATTGATTAGGACTAGAAGACAACATTAACATTCCCTTTGTAATTAAATAGCGACCCCTTTATCTTGGCTACCATCTTTATTTAGTCACTTCTCCTTTTCTCGATTCTTCCTCTAACCTTGGGCACCCCGGGTCCAAGATCCAACAGTTGAAATTGGCTTGAGGTATAAATATGCACTATGTATTAATTGAGCTTACACTTTACAGAAGTCAAGTTTGCATGTTTGAACAATATCATACAGGGATAACACTCAAACAGACCATCCCTCTACACTTGAACATGCAATTGTACCAGAAAATTTTACTTTTTTAAGCTCCAACCACTACTAAAAAGAATGCAATTTTTCCTGGCATTTGATAGTAACGAAGTGGCTGTATGTTTGAATGTGATAACAAAAACGTGAACGTAAATGGAGGCAAAAAAGTTTATTTCCCCACCTTAAATGGTTAGTAGTGACCTCCTAGAACTCAAGCAGCACTGCAGTAGACATGGGTCTGACTATAAGGACACAGTGGATCAATAGTGTTAAAGCATCAGAGAAGAATGATTATTTAATGCTTAAATGTCATCTTCAGTCGCTATGAAGAATGTAAATTGGTTTCAAAGAAGCTGTGCAATACTTTCAAAGGAATCAAATGTAAACCATATTAGTAGAAGCCACTTAGAAACTCATGGACAGTAGGAAACAGCAGGAATTGATATAAACTCTAGTTAAAACACCATTAAGAGAATGCCAGAATAACAATTCAAATCTATTGATAACAAACAATAACAAAATTGTCAACATAATATCTGGACAAAAGCATAATACTGCGCTTAGATGATGCCGATCTTGTTTGCAACATCCAATGCATCAAAGTCCGGGGTCAACCGAACATATGCCTTCTTCGTGCCATCAGGCCTACATAGACAGAAAAAGAAGAGAGGGAGGGATTAGCGTAACGGAACAAAACACAAATGAATATCACTACTGAACTACAACCGTTCTTAATCTTATTACATCTCCAAGCACAATCCCACTGGGGCATAAGATAAGCGAAACACTAAAAAATGTGGAGTAACAAAAATCCTCTTTCTCAAGAATCTCCAAAGTTGAGGTTTTTCCAACCCTTTTGTCAATAGTATATATCCAGAACAAAGAGGCATTACTTAAAGTAAAACCATCCAAACCAGCAAAAAGATAAGGTTGATTCCAACAGAGTTACAGTATCTACCTGATCAAAGTATTGACTTTCTTGGTCTGAATCTCATACATCTTCTTGACAGCATCCTTAATCTTCTTCTTATCAGCACGGATATCAACAATAAAAACCAAGGTGTTGTTATCCTCAATCTTCTTCATTGCCGACTCAGTGGTCAATGGATACTTGAGGATTTGGTAATGATCCAACTTGTTCCTTGGTGGAGCACTGATCCGGGGATATTTTGGGTTCCTGTCCTTCTTCAATGTCCTGGGCCTGTGGAAGGTGACCTTTGTGCGGATCTTCTTAGTCTTCTTCTTGAAGGTTGTACCTTTAACAGCCTTGGCAGCTTTTGCAGCCTGTGCCTTAGGGTCAGGTTTCTTTTCAGCTGCTATAAAAAGAGATCAGATGGGTAAATATACTTGACAGAAAATCAAGTGAAACTGCAACAAATATGCATAATTCAAATGGAGAAAATGATAACTCCGTACATACATCCAACCTAATACCCAAAAAAAAAAAAGACAGATCTTGAAAAAATGATTTTGCCATTTGATAAAGATTAAGTACCCCAAATATTGAGATTATACATAAAATAATATATTCCTTAACATATACATTGTTTTGCAAATGTTGTAGATTATATGACACAGCAGCTGATATTTAGGCCATAAACTTTTAAATAACTCAGATTCTACTCTACTATGAAAAATAATATGCTCACAAGTTAATACCAAAATCTTAACAAATCAGGTTTAATGTCCAATCAATTAGAGCTTCCCGGTCAAAGTAGCAGTTCAACTTTTCAATACAAAATTTGCTTCTAACAGTTGACCAAATGTATTTAGAGATTATCAGGGAAATGGTATGAACATAACATTACATAACTTTCTGATGCCTAATTCACTACATCTGTAAAATTAAAATTTACAGAGAGCAGCGTTTCTTCTAGTTGACACACTCGGAAACAGCAAATAAAAACGAGGAAATATACAAACACACAAAAATAGTAGAACATATTTCAGTTCAGGTATAACGTTATATATAGTCATGGAGTCATGCAAAGCAGATGAATCATTTCTACTCAAGGATGCTCAAAACAAAGACAAGACACAAGAGAAACCACGGAATTATAATTTCGTCGAGCCATGTACCTTTCGGAGCCATTGCTATTGCTGCGTGAACACAAAGCCTACCTGATCAAATCAGACAAAAACAGCAAATCAAAGTCAAACAAAAATCGAATCAGTTGCAGATCTACTGCAGAACTCAATAAAATGCAGTGGCGGAGAGAGTGGACGCACCTAGAGGAAGAGTGGAAGACGAAGAAGAGGGGATGGGACTGCCGCTGCTGCAGACTAGGGTTTTGGAGTGACAAAATATAGAGAAGCGCTAGGGTTCTGCTCCGTGGTGCTTGAAATGACTAAACTGGCCTTCGCTTAAACAATTTGGGCCTGTATTTTATCCTGTGTCATAAATGGGCCCGGGCTTTCTGTTTTAGACTTGGAGAATATTAGTTGTTATGCATCGCGCGTCAGACACTGGCAATTTATATCCTACACCACAACGCGCGTTGCAATATGCGCCCAGATGCAAAATGACGTTATTTTAATCTTTATTTTTTTTTAAATGAAACTGTAGTTGTGTTGAACTGAAACTCCAGTGTATACAAAATGAAACTGAAGAACAGAGTCATTTTTTGCGAAGATTCTGTTTCTTTTCATTAAATAAAACGACGTCGTTTTACAGTGTCGGTTTAGAGACACTGTAGTGTCTGACACGCGGTGCATAATCAATTATGCACCGCGGTGCACGATATAATTTGCCATCAATCATTGGCAATTTATATTGTGCACCACGGCGCACATAGCAATGCAATTATTATTGTATGAACCATAAATAAAAAGTACATTTTTAATATACTAAGGGTACATTATTTATGTACGTAAGGTACATTTTTTGAAAGTACATTTTTAATATACTAACGGTACATTATTTTATATAGTGTACCTTTAGTACAAAAATAATGTACTTTTAATATATTAAAAATGTACCTGATATTCATGGTCCACACAATAATTTGTCATAGCAATGTGCGCCCAGGCACAAAGCATGTTTTAATTGCTGACGTCTCTCCGTTCGTCCAATGGCCAAAACCCCATTATGTGTATTCAGTTAAAAGTTTCTCTATATTGTGTTATGAGTTCCTGTGTATTCAGTTAAGAGTTTCTGTGTATTTAGTTAAGAGTTTCTGTGTATTCAGTAAAAGTTTATGTGTATTCAGTTAAGAGTTTTTGTGTATTATGTATCATGTTAGATTATGTGTATTCAGTTATGAATTTCTATGTATTCTGTTATGAGTTTATGTGTATTCGAAACAGAAGATTTTTTATTTTGGGACAATGCAGACAAACGACGTCATTTTGGGTAGGACGGGACGCACAATGCATTGTGCGCCCTGGTGCATGATATAACGACTGGTCAATCATTACACCATAGCAATAGTTTTTGCGTGGACCATAGACCATACATTTGTATAACGCAAATTATGACGTGGAACCCTGTCCACCTTGCAAGGTGGGCACGATTTCAAAACTATCATAATTGTGAATATATAGTTCAAAAATTGTGAACATAAAGTTCTATAATTATGAACATAGAGTTCAATAATTGTGAATATGGAGTTCAAAAATTATGAACATAGAGTTCTGTAATTGTGAATATAGAGTTCAGTAATTGTGAATATGAAGTTCAAAAATTCTGAACATTGAGTTTTATAATTATGAACATAGAGTTCAATAATTATGAAAATAGAACCGTGTCCACCTTGTAAGGTAGACACGGTTCCACGGCATAACAATTGGCTGTATGGACCACAGTCTAAAAATGACAACGTTTCACATAATTTCATTATTCTAACACAAAAAATATATTATTTTAAACATAAAGTACATTATTCTAATATATAATGTACATTATTTTAATATATAATGTACATTATTCTAACACATAAAGTATATTATTCTAACTCATAATATCCAATGACCTCGTTTTAGACCGTGCTCCACACAATAATTTGCCTATACCATAGATCATGATTAATTTTACAAGATGCACTATTGACATAATATTCAATATTAACATATTGAATATTCATTTTCTAAAAGTTATTTTTTTTATTAAATGTTTATTTTTTCTTATACTTAGTGGCGAAGCCACCCTTGGGGTAGGGACCCCCCTCCCCCCCCCCCCCTCGCAAAAAAATAAAAAATAAAAAGAAAATTCGTTTGTCCCATTTTATGTGTTATACTTACTTTTTATTGGTCAAACCAACTCTTTCTTCTTTGTTTATTTTTTTACTTACTTTTTAATTTTTTTTTTCTAATCGTATTTTTGGTGTAGTTTCTAAATATATAAATTTTGTATACTAATACTAAACTTAATATTATGAAAAATTAAAATCAAAATAACTTCAGTTAGTCGTTAACGGAACTAAAAACATAAAATGGAATAAATAGAGTTGTGTGTGTGTGTATATACATACATACATACATACATATATATATATATATATATATATATATATATATATAATACACCCCCTCCTCTTTTTTTTAGTTAAAGCTCAAATTCATTAAATAAAAATAAAAATAATCAAATAATCAAATTCATCATTTTTCTTCATTAACTTATTTCCTTTGTCAAAATTTCAATAATTGAGACTTGAGAGCATCAATATCAAATTTAACTTCATAATTCTCTAATTTCGAGGTATATGTTTTAGTTTAATGGTACCCGGGTTGGACTTCCATTTGGAAGATTGTAAGTTCAAGCCTCAGTGGAGGCGTTATTAGCTCTTTGTGTTTCAGTAGGTTGAGAAAGTATATGAATAGATACTACAATGTAATAGAGCTAGTAGTTTTAGTTCTATTAGTTAAATAATTAAATAGTGAATTATTTTGTGTGCAATTATTGTTTATTTACACTTTTAAGATGTAAATTTGTTAAGTTAAAGAATTAGTTTTGAAATTGACAAAAAATAATAATGATTATTTATTTAACGATCTTGGTTTCCGTTTTCATCCCTCAAATTTTGGAATATTTATTTAATAAGTAAAATGAATATCAATTAATTATCAACAAAACAATTGACAACTTTTTATTTGATAAGGAGTGACAATGCATATTTAAATAAATATAAATAGTTTTTTACTATTGTATATATTTTGTGTTATGTTAAAAATTTAAAGTAATGATCGACAATAACAACAATCATACTCATACAAATTATATATTTCATACATTATTTCACATAATATAATTAAAAATAATTGTCACTAATAATCGACACAATTACGTATGATATATATATATATATATATATATATATATATATATATATATATATATATATATAATTAGGTTCTGGTGCGGTTAGGGTGCCCAGGTGCGGTTGTGTGGTTTAATCTAGGTCATTCATCTCGCTTAAATCAACGTCCAGGATTACCAAAATTTAAAAAAAAAAATATGCGGTGGCAATTTTGTAATTTTTGCATCTAGGTCAAAATTAAGGTTAGCGGATCTGTGATTAATGTGCGTGAGGTTTGTATATAAGATGCGTGAGTTTTGTGCGTAAGGTGCGTGAGGTTTGTGCTTAATGTGCGTGGGGTTGTGCTTAACGTGAGTAGTTGTTACAACTTAAAATCTATGAGTTAATACTTAAACAACATGTTTGGTTCATGGAATGAATTTTGAGGTAATAGGAATGTTATTCCATAAGGAATGGAATAAGGCAAGGAATAGAATAGGAATTGTATTCTATTGTTTGGTTCGCGGAAGGAATAGACTTTAGGAATTATATTACCGTGTTTGGTTGGTTTAAGGAATAGAAATGAAATATGTTTTAAAAGACATAAATACCCTTATAAAAATATGTGGTGGTGTCGATGGTGGCGGTGTTGCTGGTGGTGGTAGTGGTGGCGGCGTCGGCGGTGGTGGTGGTAGCGGCAGTGGTGCCGATGCTGGTAGTGGTGGCGACAATGGTGGTGGTAGCGGCGGGTGGTGGTGGTGTTGGTGCTGGTGTTGGTGGGGTGGTGGTGCTGGTGGCGGTGGCAGCGGTGGTGGTGGTGGTAGCAGCGGCGGCGGTGGTGGTGGTAGCAACGGTGGTGGCGATGCTGGTGGTGTTGGTGGCAATGGTGGTGGTGCTAGTGGCGGTGGTGGTGGTAGTGGTAGTGGTGACGGTGCTGGTGGTGGGTGCTGGTGGCGGCGGCAATGCTGGTAGCGATGGTGGTGGTGGTGGTGGCGACAGTGGTGGCGATGGTGGTGGTGGTGGCAATGGTGGTGGTGGTGGCGGCGGTGCTGCTGGTGGTGGCGACGGTGCTGCTGGTGGTGGTGGTGTTGGTGGGGTGCTAGTGCTGGTGGTGGTGGGGGTGGTGGGGTGGTGGTGCTGGTGGTGGTGACGGGGGGTAAAATAGGAAGTAGAAATTTTAGGCTATTCCTGAGAACTCAGTAATAGCCTAATACCAGGGGGGCCCTGGTAATAGCTATTACCTTATCTGGGGGAATAGGGTATTACCGGGAATATTATTCCCGGTAATAGAAATGGTTACCAAACAAAGGAATAGGCATTACTTGGAATGCTATGCCATTCCCGGCCTATTCCGTGAACCAAACGAGCCAAAAGTGCGTGGGTTTTGTGCTTAATGTGCGTGAGATTGTGCTTAATGTGCGTGGGTTTTATACTTAATGTGCGTGAGTTTGTGCTTAATGTCAGAGTTGTTGAAATTTAAAGTCTGTGAGTTAATATTTAAAGTGGTGGATTTTGTGCTTAATGTGCGTGAGATTGAGCTTAATGTGTGTTGGATGAAGAAGCATGCAGCACGTCTAAATGACCAAAATCGTCTATCAAAACCAAAAGCGTCTTCCAAAACCAAAAGCGTCTACCAAAACCAAAAGCGTCTACCAAGAGCGCGTCTTCTTGTCCAACAATGTGCGTGGATTTTGTACTTAATGTGCGTGAGTTTATACTTAATGTGTGTGGGTTTTGTACTTAATGTGCGTGAGTTTGTGCTTAAGATCTAACAGTTAAGGTGCGTTGCTTTCTTCCAAACACGCGTTTTTTTTTTTAATTTTCATTGATTTGAGCCGTTGATTTAGATTTGATCAACGGCTCAGATCTAACTGCACAACCGCACGGGAAGCTATATTCGCACATGAACCCTTCCATATATATATATGCAAAAGTTCAAGTGTGAATTGTGGGTAACGTGTGCACTTGTTGTGGGCGTGTGATTGGGGCTGATCAATGGATGTAATTAGAGTGCACGGGCTCCCGGTGCACCCTGTCACATCTAGCATTTGTGAGTGGTGCGGTGAGTGAGGTCATTTTTGTAATTTCCGCGGGCAA